CCCTAACGATCACCACTAACCCCAACCCTAATGATCACCACTAACCCTAATGATCACCACTAACCCCAACCCTAATGATTACCACTAACCCTAACAATTACCACTAACCCCAACCCTAACGATTACCACTAACCCCAACCCTAATGATTACCACTAACCCTAACAATTACCACTAACCCTAACGATTACCACTAACCCCAACCTTAATGATTACAACTAACTCTAACGATTACCACTAACCCCAACCCTAATGATTACCACTAACCCTAACGATTACCACTAACCCTAACGATTACCACTAACCCCAACCTTAATGATTACCACTAACCCTAACGATTACCACTAACCCCAACCCTAATGATTACCACTAACCCTAACGATTACCACTAACCCTAACGATTACCACTAACCCCAACCTTAATGATTACAACTAACCCTAACGATTACCACTAACCCCAACCCTAATGATTACAACTAACCCTAACGATTACCACTAACCCCAACCCTAATGATTACCACTAACCCTAACGATTACCACTAACCCCAACCCTAATGATTACCACTAACCCTAACGATTACCACTAACCCTAACCCTAACGATTACCACTAACCCTAACGATTACCACTAACCCTAACAATTACCACTAACCCTAACGATTACCACTAACCCTAACGATTACCACTAACCCCAACCCTAATGATTACCACTAATCCTAACCCTAACGATCACCACTAACCCCAACCCTAATGATCACCACTAACCCTAATGATCACCACTAACCCCAACCCTAATGATTACCACTAACCCTAACAATTACCACTAACCCTAACGATTACCACTAACCCCAACCCTAACGATTACCACTAATCCTAACCCTAATGATCACCACTAACCCTAACGATTACCACTAACCCCAACCCTAACGATTACCACTAATCCTAACCCTAATGATCACCACTAACCCTAATGATCACCACTAACCCCAACCCTAATGATCACCACTAACCCTAATGATTACCACTAACCTTAACGATTACCACTAACCTTAACCCTAACGATTACCACTAACCCTAACAATTACCACTAACCCCAACCCTAACGATTACCACTAACCCTAACAATTACCACTAACCCCAACCCTAACGATTACCACTAACTCTAACAATTACCACTAACCCTAACGATTACCACTAATCCTAACCCTAACGATTACCACTAACCCTAACAAATATTAACTAACCCCAACCCTAACGATTACCACTAACCCCAACGATTATCCCTAACGCTAACGATTACCACTAACCCTAACCCTAACTATTACAATTAACCCTAACCCTAATGATTACCCACTAACCCTAATGATTACCACTAACCCCAACCCTAATGATTGCTGCTAACCCTAATGATTACCACTAACCCTAACCCTAATGATTACCACTAACCCTAACCCTAATGATTGCTGCTAACCCTAGCCCTTAACCCTAACATTTAACCCTAACCCTAGCCCCCCTAAACCTAAACCCTAACATTTAACCCTAGCTCTTAACCCTTACACTAACATGCAACTTTGGACACATGGTCAGATGGTTTCTGTCAAAACCCCTTTAATATCACAGAAAAAGGGACCTGTGGTTAAGCTCTTGTTTTAATTGGAAGAAGGGTTATCCGCACACTGGAGGATTGATAAATTATAGCAAATATGTATTGTTAACAAGTTCTGTACACATGTCCTGGTGTTTTGTATGTCCTATAGATCAATAAATATTTGATATAATTTATAAATCCTCTGGTGTGTGGCTAACCCTTCTTCCTATTGCATCACGTGTGGTGGCGAGCCAGAGTCTGCACCTGCCTTGCTTTGATTTGGATCGTTTGCCTGAGCGGTAATACCTTTGCTTCTTGGATTAAGCTCTTGTTATACCATCAATGAAGGAACATCTGTCAAGTTTGGGAGCTGATAACACCTTGCTTATTGATTGAACTCTGCCATGGGCGGACTGACAACTCATGGGGCAATAGGAGATCATGGGGCCCCTGTGTCCTTGCCCAAACTCAAAAAAGCCTATGGGGCATCTCATGGGGCCCCGTACTGACACCGGGCCCTCGGGCAGTGCCAGAGTTTCCAAATTGTCAGTCCGCCCCTGAACTCTGCTAAAACCAAGGACTTTACAAGTATTCTTTATTTTCAACTCCTTTTTGTTTCTCTTTTGCCTTATGGTTTCTTTATTTTATTGTAACCTCTTTTTCCTGTTAAATATTTTATTTGCACAACACATTAAAATGCATAGCAAAGCAAGCCACTCCAAGTTTGGCAGCCACAGACAAAAAGCTGACCAACATCTGGTTAAACTGATCTTAGCCAGATTATTCAGATTGAAAGACTGCTACAAGCATCGACCAAGCAATGGCCAAAAAAAAGGTGATAGCAATTCTTTGCATATAGTTTTCTATCAAAATAGGGTGGAGAAAGCTATTGTCTTCATGCCCCCCACACATTTAATTCAGTAGCCATAAAAATGCACAAGCAGGTTATCTCAGCATGCATGTTTATTTATTTATTACAGGTACTTACAGTATATAGTGCTGTCAATTTACACAGCAGTTTACATATATATTGTACTTTCACATCAGTCCCTAACCCTCAAGGGGCGTACAATCTAAGGTCCCTAACTTTCATGCACATACTAGGGCCAGTTTAGACAGGATCCAATTAACCTATCAGCATGTCTTTGGTGTGTGGGAGGAAACTGGAGTAACTGGAGGAAACCCACACACGCACATGGAGAACATGTAAACTCCAGGCAGGTGGGGCTGTGGTTGGGATTTGAACCAATGACCCTAGTACTGCCAGGCGGAAGTGCTAACCAAATAGCCACTGTGCTGCCTGTTTATAGAAAGATCTCTCAGAATATATATATATATATATATATATATATATATATATATATATATATATATATATATATACAGTTGTGTTCAAAATAATAGCAGTGTGTTGAAAAAAGTGAATAAAACTCAAAATCCTTCTAATAGCTTTTATTTCCATACACACAAATGCATTGGGAACACTACACATTCTATTCCAAATCAAATCATGAAGATAAATATATTAAATTTGTGTTGTTCCTCTAAAAAAATTGCAGAAAAGTGAATATTAGACTGTTCAAAAAAAATAGCAGTGTTTGTATTCTTCTTTACAAACTCAAACATTCAGTATATAAACTGAAAAATGTTTGAAGATTTTGCTTTCCTTTGAATCACTTAATGAATATTTAGTTGTAGTCGCACTGTTTCTGAGAACTGCTGTACATCTGTGTTGCATGGAGTCAACCAACTTCTGGCACCTGTGAACAGGTATTCCAGCCCAGGATGATTGGACTACATTCCACAGTTCTTCTCTATTTCTTGGTTTTGCCTCAGAAACTGCATTTTTGATGTCACCCCACAAGTTTTCTATTGGATTAAGATCCGGGGATTGGGCTGGCCACTCCATAACGTCAATCTTGTTGGTCTGGAACCAAGATGTTGCACGTTTACTGGTGTGTTTGGGGTCATTGTCTTGTTGGAACACCCATTTCAAGGGCATTTCCTCTTCAGCATAAGGCAGCATGACCTCTTCAAGTATTCTGATGTATTCAAACTGATCCATGATCCCTGGTATGCGATAAATAGGCCCAACACTGTAGTATGAGAAACATCCCCATAACATGATGCTGCTTCACTGTCTTCACAGTGTACTGTGGCTTGAATTCAGTGTTTGGGGGTCGTCTGACAAACTGTCTCCGGCCACTAGACCCGAAAAGAACAATCTTACTTTCATCAGTCCACAAAATGTTGCGCCATTTCTCTTTAGACCAGTCAATGTGCTCTTTGGCAAATTGTAACCTCTTCAGCACACGTATTTTTTTCAACAGTGGGACTTTGCGGGGGCTTCTTGCAGATAGCTTAGCTTCACATAGGCGTCTTCTAATTGTAACAGTACTCACAGGTAACTTTACATCTTCTTTCATCTTCCTGGAGCTGATTGTTGGCTGAGTCCTTGCCATTTTGGCTATTCTTCTATCCATTCGAATGGTAGTTTTTTGCTTTCTTCTACGTCTTTCAGGTTTTGGTGTCCATTTTAAAGCATTTGCGATCATTTTAGCTGAGCAGCCTATCATTTTCTGCACTTCTTTATATGTTTTCCCCTCTCCAATCAACTTTTTAGTTATTTTGAGCATGCCCCATTCAATTAGTGATTCAATTACACAGAATCTGCAGCATGCATGTCATGACTGTTGGGTCTGTTGGATTTCTATTACTCTACTACACCTGCTAGTAAATTATTTGCCATGAAGAAATATCATTTCTAACAAAAACAGTGATTGATCAGGTTAGTGATGTCTGACTGCTATTATTTTGAACACAACTGTATATATATATTATTTTTTTATTTTTATTTTTTTTCTGTTGGATTGAGCTCAATCATTTTAAACAGCATTCAGCATTCATCATCCTTATTTGCCTTTAAAAAATATGGACACACTTAATGGATTAGTTATGCCAATTTATTTAAAAATACCAAGTTAAATTACAAAATGATTTATCATATAAACACAGATCTAGGCATGTCTTTTTCTTTAATGTTTAATGTTTATGGAAGAATTACTTCTGCTCTAATTTACCATTTTAATATTGTATACAAAAAGGCTTTTTGTGGCTTTGATAAAACCACAGGTTAGTAATTTGAAGGTAATACATTAAAGCAGAACACCACACAAAATGGATTGCTATGTCTCTGCTCCTTTCATTCTAGGAAACAGCACTTTATCCTCAGCAGAAAAGCTAAGTAATCCCTACCAGAGATGTGTACAGGGTAATCTTCTCTCGCAGGTCTCACAGTTTTAAAGACACAGTGGAGTATCAGACTGAGCCCCACTCCATCTACAATGAAAAATACATTTAGTGGATTTCTGCTTTAAAGAAACCATTGGGTAGAATGAACTTTAGAAGTGCAACCCTAGCTAGGGCCACAATACCTGCCACAAAGTAAGATAGTTTGAGTTTTGTTGTGTCTTACAATAAAAATAAAAGGACTGTTGGCGATGCATTCTGTTTTGGGCATCAGGTATCTCTCTTTTGACACATCTGGTGTTTCACTGCCATCCTCATTTATCTCAATTGCTGCTTTGCATATTGCCTGGGATACTGATAATCCTTTACTCTCTGACATGCCAGAAAAATCAGCCGTCTCATCATTGAAAGCATTCTTAATCCCCAGGCTATTCAATGTGTCCTTCAGGTTGTAACAACTCTCAATCTTGAATTTAGGCAAAGACAACTTTACTTTGCTGTTGGCCATCATACTGGGATTGGTCCAGTCGGCAAAGTTCTCATATGTTAGTTCCTTTTCCAACTAAAACAGCAAATGAAGAAATATGTTACAGTATTAAATCATATACACATTTTTTTTCAAATATACTGTTTCTCCAAATCTATTAAGCCATCTAGATTGATAGCATAGATGTTCCCTTGAAATCCTGCTATGAAGGTTCTTGTCTAGACAATTTTTGTTATGGGGTGACAGCTGTAGTGCTTATGCAGTTTATATTATATGTATCCTGGTGAGCAGTGCCAACTGGCATGGTATACTGTTGTAAGGAAGCTGGTCCAGAGCAATGATGGGAAGCCAGTGCTGGAGCACGTGCATACAATGGGAGATGGGTGTGTGCTAGAGATCTGCAGTACATGGGTGAGGGCAAATATGGGTGTGATAGAATAATAATCATAACAATATATGCAGATTTGAAATTAAAGTAGGTACCAAGTATTACTTTTGTATGCCACAACTAAATAATTAAATACCTTGCTATAATGCCCTTTGAATGCACATGATATTCAATGTGCCATTTCACATGTCATATTTATATGCTAAGCAGGCCCAGAAACCACTAAATGCTCCCACAAAGCATGCACTGTAGTGACATGCAGTTACAGTTTACATATAACACTACAAGCCCGAACCCTTGTTTAATCCTGGGCTGTATGCCCTTATGTATACACCAGGGGCGGACTGACAACCCATGGGGCCCCCGGGCAATAGGGGATCATGGGGCCCCTGTGTCCTTGCACACACCTAAAAAAGCCTATAAAAAGGTACCAGGGGCATTTCATGGGGCCCCCTTCTGACCCTGGGCCCTCGGGCAGTGCCCGAGTGCTCAAATGGTCATTCCGCCCCTGGTATACACACATTTATGCAGGTACTTGAGTATACACTCATATAGTTGTGTGCAATCATTGACTATAGGTGGCTGTGAGCAGCACCTGTGGGCTCTCTGGTGAGGAAATTCACCATATATAACATTATGGAAACAGGTGAAATAGAGCTACCACTTCTCAATCCACAGCTACAACCTGATGCTCAGACTGTGAGGCTTCTGATGCCTCTGAAATGCATAATCCATAGGAGGAAAAGTCCCAGGTGCTGACTTTTCTTCCTGTGAATTATATAGAACGCTGTATGGCCAGATACAGCCATGTACAACAGTTCTTGGAGATTAACGTGAAATATATGACCAGACTATCCATATGGAAGAAAAATATATTTGAAATATATTTAAAAAATGTTGGCCATATTCAATATATTCCAATCAATCAATCAATCTATATATATATATATATATATATATACAGTTGCAAGAAAATGTATGTGAACCCCTCGGGATTACGTGGAGTTTTGCATGAATTGGGCATAAAATGTGCTCTGAACGTCATCTAAGTCACAATAATAGAAGAACACAGTCTGCTGAACATAATACTACACAAACATTAGATGTTGCCATGGTTTAATTGCACATAACATGTAAACATTCACAGTGCAGGGAGGAAAAAGTATGTGAGGCCCTAGCTTAATTACTTCTCCCAGAGCTAATTGGAGCCTGAGGGAGCCAACCTTGACTCCAATCAGTGTGATGATATTGGATGTGTTGCTGACAGCTGTCCTGCCCTTAGAAAACACACACCTGTTTTGGGTTTACTGGTTTCAAGAAGAACTGTCTGATGTGAACCATGCCTCGCAGAAAAGAGCTCTCAGAAGACCTACGATCAAGAATTGTTGACTTGCATGAAGCTGGAAAGGGTTACAAAAGTATCTCCAAAAGCCTTGATGTTCATGTGTCCATGGTAAGACAGACTGTCTACAAATGGAGAAAGTTTAGCACTGTTGCTACTCTCCCTAGTCATGGTCGTCCTGTAAAAATGACTGCAAGAGCACAGCGCAGAATGCTGCACGAGGTAAAGAAGAATCCCAGAGTGTCAGCAAATCTCTGGCACATGCTAACATTTTTGTTGACACATGTACAATAAGGAAAACATTAAACAAGAATGGAGTACATGGGAGGACACCACGAAGGAAGCCATTGCTGTCCAAAAAGAATATTGCAGCACGTTTGAAGTTTGCAAAAGAGCATCTGGATGTTCCACAGCACTACTGGCAAAATATACTGTGGACAGATGAAACCAAGATTGAGTTGTTTGGGAAGAACACACAACACTATGTGTGGAGAAAAAAAGGCACAGCATACCAACATCTAAACCTCATCCCCACTGTAAAACATGGCGTAGGGAGCATCATGGTTTGGGGCTGCTTTGCTGCCTCAGGGCCTGGACGGATTGTTGTCATTGATGGGAAAATGAATTCCAGAGTTTATCAAGACATTTTGCAGGAAAACGTACGACCATCTGTCCGCCAACTGAAGCTCCGCAGAGGATTGGTGATGCAACAGGACAATGACCCAAAGCATACAAGTAATTCAACAAAACAATGGCTGCAACAGCACAGAATACGCCTTCTGGAGTGGCCCAGTCAGAGTCCTGACCTCGACCCGATTGAAATGCTGTGGCATGACCTTAAGAGAGCGATTCACACCAGACATCCCAAGAATATTGCTACACTGAAACAGTTTTGTGAAGAGGAGTGGTCCAAAATTACTCCAGATCGTTGTGCAGGTCTGATCTTCAACTACATGAAATGTTTGGCTGAGGTTATTGCTGCCAAAAGGAGGGTCAACCAGTTATTAAGCCCAAAGGTTCACATACTTTTTCCTCCCTGCACTGTGAATGTTTACATGTTATGTGCAATTAAACCATGGCAACATCTAATGTTTGTGTAGTATTATGTTCAGCAGACTGTGTTCTTCTATTGTTGTGACATAGATGACGTTCAGAGCACATTTTATGCCCAATTCATGCAAAACTCCACGTAATCCCAAGGGGTTCACATACTTTTTCTTGCAACTGTATACTGCATGTTGAAATGCATTTTTATTACAAATTATATGAAACATATTTTTAAAAATACATTTCAGATTTACTGATATACTGTATGTCTTTACAAATACAAATCTACATTTTTGGAATGCATTTACAAATATATGTAAGAATATATTTAAATATATATATATTTTTTAAATATATTCTACAGATTTTTTTTAACATATAAAAAAGTAATTTTAACATATATTGTTACCCTTTCCAGTGAATCTGCTATATGCTTACATTAGAAATTAGAAGGCTGACAGGTGCCAACCAATTGCTGGGAGGGCAGAATAAGCCAAGTTGCCAATAGAAGTACTTGAAGGACTTCAGTGTTTCTGGTGTGGAATTTGAGGATTAATTGCTCCGCCATGCTTGCAGTTACAGGGGTCAGAAATGACTCATGTAAAGCTAATTTACTGCTTGTTTTGTATATAAAAAAATACTTGAATGTCCATAGCCTGACCACAAATTCACTTCAACATAACTGACAGTATCAGAGCATTTTTGTTTTTTTCTAAGCTAAGTGGAGGAATTTTAGACACATCTATAAAGTATTAACTGTACATACAGGTGAAACTAGAAAAATTAGAATATCATGCAAAAGTTCATTTATTTCAGTGATGCAACTTAAAAAGTGAAACTAATAAGAGTAATGAGATAGACTCATTACATGCAAAGCAAGATAGTTCAAGCCGTGATTTGTGATAATTGTGATGATTATGGCTTACAGCTCATGAAAACCCCAAATCCAAAATCTAAGAAAATTAGAATATTGTGAAAAGGTGCAATATTCTCGGCTCAAAGTGTCCCACTCTAATCAGCTAATTAAGCCATAACACCTGCAAAGGGTTCCTGAGCCTTTAAATGGTCTCTCAGTCTGGTTCAGTAGGAATCACAATCATGGGAAAGACTGCTGACCTGACAGTTGTGCAGAAAACCATCATTGACACCCTCCATAAGGAGGGAAAGCCTCAAAAGGTAATTGCAAAAGAAGTTGGATGTTCCCAAAGTGCTGTATCAAAGCACATTAATAGAAAGTTATGTGGAAGGGAAAAGTGTGGAAGAAAATGGTGCACAAGCAGCAGGGGTGACCGCAGCCTGGAGAGGATTGTCAGGAAAAGGCCATTCAAAAGTGTTGGGTACTCTCACAAGGAGTGGACTGAGACTGGAGTCAGTGCATCAAGAACCACCACAAACAGAAGGATCCTGTTGTATTCCTCTTGTCAAGCTGCTCCTGAACAACAAACAACGTCAGAAGCGTCTTACCTGGGCTAAAGAAAAACAGACCTGGTCTGTTGCTCAGTGGTCCAAAGTCCTCTTTTCTGATGAGAGCATTTGGAAACCAAGGATCCAGAGTATGGAGGAAGAATGGAGAGGCACACACTGCAAGATGCTTGAAGTCCAATGTGAAGTTTCCACAGTCTGTGTTGATTTGGGGAGCCATGTCATCTGCTGGTGTTGGTCCACTGTGCTTCATTAAGTCCAGGGAAACGCAGCCGTCTACCAGGAGATTTTGGAGCACTGCATACTTCCTTCTGCAGATGAGCATTATGGGGATGCTGACTTCATTTTCCAGCAGGACTTGGCACCTGCCCACACTGCCAAAAGCACCAAAACCTGGTTCAATGACCGTGGGATTACTGTGCTTGATTGGCCAGCAAACTCGCCTGACCTGAACCCCATAGAGAATCTATGGGGCATTGCCAAGAGAAAGATGAGAGACATGAGACCGAACAATGCAGAAGAGATGAAGGCCGCTATTGAAGCATCCTGGTCTTCCATAACACCTCAGCAGTGCCACAGGCTGATAGCTTCCATGCCACGCCGCATTGAGGCAGTAATTGCTGCAAAAGGGTCCCAAACCAAGTACTGAGTATATATGCATGCTTATACTTTTCTGAGGTCCGATATTGTTCTATGTACAATCCTTGTTTTATTGATTGCATGTAATATTCTAATTTTCTGAGATTGTGGATTTGGGGTTTTCATGAGCTGTAAGCCATAATCATCACAATTATGACAAATCACAGCTTGAACTATCTTGTTTTGCATGTAATGAGTCTATCTCATATATTATTTTCATCTTTTAAGTTACATTACTGAAATAAATGAACTTTTGCACAATATTCTAATTTTTCGAGTTTCACCCATATGTAATATCTAGGCTTATAGCAGAATATATATATATATATATATATATATATATATATATATATATATATATATATATATATATATATTGGTATCTGTGCCCCCTTTGATTGTACAGTAAGCAGTCAGTTATTCACATGTATGTAACCTCTGGATACTATGGTCAGATAACTAAATCAAAATTAATAAGCCAGTGATAATACTAATACCTGCTCCAGTCCAGTGTGTTCATCTTCAGTTGTTTTGGGCAGTAATATAAGCATATTAATTTGCTTCCATGCAAAAGGAATTTCCAGGATTGTCAAATTTAACTCTTTCAAAGATCGAAAACCAAGTCTTGCTTCCTGCTGCATCATTTGTACGGGCTTAGTCTCAGTCTAAAAAAAGAGATCACAAATGATCTATGTTAAATTGTATGTAATTTTATACTTTTTAATCTGTTTTTTTTTCTGTAAAATATGACTGTTATTATACCAAACAGGCAAAATATGTATCAAAATGGGTACTGATTTAGGAATTATTTGTTAGCAAGTTAAAGTGAAGTCAAAGTGAACAAAGGCAACTTTTTGGAGGACACTACCTGTAGAAGCTGGGCTCAAAAGGAATTGTTTCACTGAACAGTGTTGCAGTGAAGCTGGTTGAAGGCTGCCTCTGGACATTCTGAGTAGGACCTTTAGCCTTCAAGCAAGTGCTTTGAGGGGTACAGAAGTTGCTTCAAGGACTATGACTGCTCATTGAGAGTGCGGCCAAAGATGAGTCAAAAACCAAAGAAAAAAATTCCTGATTGAATCATTCGTTTTTTCGTATCATTAGTGTAGGGAAATCAAAATCAAACCAAACAGCAGGGAAATCAAAATCAATCCAAACAGTAGGGAAATAAAAATCAAACCAATATTTGGTGTTACCGCTCTGCGCCTTCAAAATATCATCTACTCTTCTAGGTACCCTTTTATTCAGTTTTGAAGGAACTCAGCAGGTAGGTTGTTCCAAACTTCTTCAGATCTTCTGTGGATGTAGGCTTCCTCAGATTATTCTGTCTCTTCATGTAATGCCAGACAGACTCGATGTTGAGATCAGGTCTCTGTAGGAGCCAAACCATCAATTCCAGGACTCCATGCTTTTCTTTGCACTGAAGATAGTTCTTAATAACGTTGGCTGTATGTTTGGGGTCGTTGTCCTACTGCACAATAAATTTGGGGCCAATCACATGCCTCCCTGATGGTATGGCATGAAGTATCTGCCTGTATTCCTCAGCATTGAGGACACCATTGATCCTGGACAAATTTCAAACTCTATATGCAGAAATGCAGCCCAAAACTTGTAAGAAACCTCCACCATGCTCCACTGTTGCCTGCAGACACTATTATTGTACTGCTTTCCAGCCCTTTGAGAACAATTTGCCTTTTTCTACAGCCAAATATTTCATATTTTGACTCATCAGTCAATTTTTCTGCAGTTCCTATGTTTTGTGCACAGGATATGGAAACAAGGCTAAGTGACTCAACTATGCATAAAAACATAGTAACTGAGGTGCAGAAAAACAGCAGCAGGTGCACTAGACTAGATGCATCACTAAATGGCAGACCACAGTCTGGTCACAGTCGCTGTTCCATCCGGATTGTAGCTGTCCCCACCATTTAGAAGCCTTTTCTTTCCCCAGCTGTCACTCTGTAATTACAAAGCGGACAGTGGGAGGCAGGACAGTTCTAGATGGAGGGCGGGAGCTGCTCGAGGTTAACAAGAAAGTTATTGGTTGCTAGGATGATGGGTGGCCCTAGCAACCAATCACTATCTCGCAGCTCATGCCCTCTAGCCAAACCTGCTGTACTTCTCATCCTCCGATCTGTCTGTGTAAGTTAGGACAGTGAGGCGTACAAAGTGAAAGGCAGCTGAGAACATTAGTATGAAGGGCAACTGATGAGAAAATGAGCTGAGGGCTGAATGTGGGGGGGAGCTGAGGATTGTAATATGGGGGGGCTGAGGAAATTAAAGTGGGGGGCTATGCACTGTGATGTGGCAGTCTGCAGACTGTGATGTGGGGGCTAAGGACAGTAACTTGGGGGGCTGAGGACTGTAGTTGGAGGAGAAACACCACCTCCTGTGCTCAGGACCCAGATCAGAAAAAGGTGGATGGATCAACCTCTATGGGGAGTTTGACCATCAATGGAGCAAAGGTTGTGCAGCTCTTAAACAAGGTTGGGGGAGCCCGACCAATACTGCAAATGAAAACAAAAGAGAACAAAAGAAAACGCACCAACCCTGTGCAATACCTGAAAAAAAATGTGAATTTATTAAAATAGGGTGCATACTCACAAACGTAGCAGTATAAAACGCATGTAAAATCCAGCATTGGAACACTGGAATATGAGACACATGCGAGTCCTACAAAAATGGGAGACACTCAGAGTACAACTGATGCGTTTCGAAGGGAGATCCCCTCTTCATCAGAGCTGTACTCTGAGTGTCTCCCATATTGGTAGGACTTGCACGTGTCCTGTAGTTGGAGGAGCCTGAGGGCTGTAATGTGGGGGGCTGAGGACATTAAAGAGAGGGGAGCTAAGAACTGTGATGTGGGGGACTGGAGACATTAAAGTGAGGGGCTGAGAACTGTGATGTAGGGGAGCTGAGGACATTAAAGTGGGGGGACTGAGGACTGTGATGTGCAGGAGGCTGAGGACATTAAAGTGGGGGGCTGAGGACTGTGATGAGGGGGATGAGAGCATTCAAGTGGGGGGGGGGCTGAGGACTGAGGACTGTGGTGTTGGGGAGGCGGAGGACATTAAAGTGGGGGGACTGAGGACTGTGATGATGGGGGTTAGGAGGACATTAAAGTGGGGGGCTGACATTAAAGTGGGGGACTGAGGAAAATAAAGTGAGGGGCTGAGGACTGTGATGTGGGGGAGATGAGGACATTAAAGTGGGAGAAGTTGAGGACTGTGATGTGGGGAACTGGGGACATTAAAGTAGGGGGCTGAAAAATGTGATGTACGGGGCTGAGGATATTAAAGTGGGGGGAGCTAAGGACTGTAAAGTGAGGAGCTGAGAACATTAAAGTGTGGGGGCTAAGGACTGTGATGTGGGGGAGGCTGAGGACATTAAAGTGGGGGCTGAGAACTGTGATGTGGGGGGCTGAGGACATTAAAGTGAGGGGAGCTGAGGACTGTGATGTGGGGGACTGATACATTAAAGTAGGGGGGCTGAGGACTGTGATGTGAGGGGCTGAGGACATTAAAGTGGAGGGCAACTGATGTGAAAAGGAACTGAGGACTAAATGTGGGGGGGAAGCTGAGAATTGTAATATGGGGGCTGAGGATATTAAAGTGGGGGGGCTATGCACTGGGATGTGGGGGTCTGAAGACTGTGATGTGTGGGGGGCTGAGGACTTTAGTTGGAGGAGCCGAAGGACTGTAATGTGGGGGGCTGAGAACATTAAAGAGGGGCACTAAGGATAATAAAGTGGGGGCTGAGGACTGTGATATGGGGGAGCTGAGGACATTAAAGTGGGGAGAGCTGAGGACTGTGATGTGGGGGAATGAGGATATTAAAGTGGGGGGCTGAGAACTGTGATGTAGGGGGGCTGAGGAGATTAAATTTGGGGAAGCTAAGGACTGTAAAGTGGGGGGGGGGTGAGGACATTAAAGTGGGGGGCTGAGGACTGTGATGGGGGCTGAGGACATTAAAGTGGAAGGCAGAGGACTGTGATGTGGGGGTCTGAGGACATTATCATAAGCGGGCTGAGGACTGTGATGTAGGGGGCAAAGGACATTAAAGTAGGGGGGACTGAAGACTGTGATATGGGGGGCTGAGGACATTAAAGTGGGGAGGATGAGAACTGTAATGTTGGTGGGGCTAAGGACATTAAAGTATGGCCTGAGGACAGTAATTTGAGAGGACTAAGGACAGCTATTTGGGGGCTGAGAACTGTGATGTGGGGGGGCTGAGAAATGTAATGTGCCGAGCAATGAGGACAGTAACATGGGGGGGCTGAGAATAGAAATGGGGTGCTGAGGATTGTAAAGTGGGGGGCTGAGGACTGTAGTGTGAAGGGGGCAGAGAACTGTAATTTGGGGGCTGAAGACAGTAACGTGGGGGGATGAGTAAATAGAGGCAGAGGGACAGTAGTGTTGATGGGGTTGATGTCAAGGAAGTGTGAGAACATACTATAAAATGGGTGGAGGAGGTGATGTAATGGGGGAGCTGAGGACACTCATCAAGAGGAGATCTTGAAGGGGGGGGGGGTCACTGTGATGTGCAGTGGGGACTGAGGATAGTAATGTAAGAATGGGTTCATTTTAATGAGCTATGCTATACTTGAGAAACTAATATTATACAAATAGAAAAAATCCCCCTGCGCTCTATATGTACCTATAAAATAGAACTAGGAAGCAGTTGACACCTAATCCTATACCTATAGGTGAAAAATAAACCATACAACATAAAATAGTGCAGCGCTACATAAATATATATATATATATATATATATAAAACAATTATACCATAAATGGTGACCAAACGTGACTCAAACCACACGAGGTCCTGTGTGGACCAAATAAAGTGACCTATAAATGGTGGTATAATATTAATAAATGTGAACCCAATCCCTCTAGGGATACAACCACAAATGACGTGACCAATGGTACCCAATAAATGGGACACAAACCTATAATTACTATATTACATAAAATATGTGAATCACTATTGAGGGATACAAAACACGCTCTGTAATTAAGCCAATGTAATTAAGAACTTTCTTCAGTGTAAAGAAGAACAAGGAGCCCTGGAAGTGATGGTTTGGCTGGCTCCCACAGAGCCCCAATCTCAACATCATCTGTCTGGGATTACATGAAAAGACAGAAGGATGTGAGGCAGCCTACATCCACAGAAGAGTTTGGAACAACCTGCCGGCCGAGTTCCTTCAAAAACTGTATGCAAGTGTGCCTAGACGAATTGAAAATATATTTACTGTATGTATTTACTGTATGTGTTTTTATATATATATATTTATTTTGCTATATGCAAAATTAAAAAAATACATATTCTAGTTGCTAAAGAAAGTTGGCCCTTACTATAGTAATAAAGAAACCAAGTGAAACATAATAAGAAAATGTTCATGTAAAAAAATATAAGTATGGCAGTTTCTGGCTAGCTTGAAATCATGCTTGCAAGCAAATCCAACAGAGGGCAGCCTTGTGTTACTGATCTCTTCTCTATGTCATTTACACAGAAGAAAAAATATACATCATCTTGAGAACTGCACATTGGATGTGTAATGAATTGACACATCCCACATCCACACGTTTGTGGAGTCCCTTTAGGCCTGGTAGGACTTTTAAGGGGAACCCCATCCCCCAAATATGGCGTGGGGTTCCCCTAAATT